TTGAACCTTGTAGCTGTCGCGGGCTCGGTCGCTGACCGGTGGCGCGGTTTGGTGTAGGGTCAAGATGAGTGCTCACCAGAACTCGATGGTACGTTCTGGGGGCGAAGGCTCCAGGCGGAGAGAAGGCCAGGGTCCCCGTTTTATGGTGGCCATGGTACGAAGCCTAGGTGGGTTGCATACAGGGCACTCCCAACACTGGTGGTTGAGATCAGCCCGACAGTTCTCTTGGAGAAGAAACCTGCCACGGTGGTGGTGTGCCACCCACGGTTCAGCAAAAAAGAAGTAAGGAGTGTTCTTGCCTGCATTCTCCGAAGCAGGACAGACTATTGCCATGTGAATACCTTCGAAGGAAGCGATAGTATTGAGAGTGGATGGCACATGTACGTCAGACTCTGTCCAGGCGGCGCTGCGAAAAGCGCTGCCACTAGTGCCCCCATCAACACGCCGGCAATAAATGGATAGGGAAAAGAGAGCCATTCGCAAGCGAACGTGCATAGGCCCTCCTGCTTCGTAAGTCTGAGGCACGATTTCTTGAAAATCAGGGACATGGAAAGCTTCTTCTGTCAATCCAACGTCGCTTCAGAAAAGTAGAAAGCTCATCAAAGCGAACTGCGGGTACAACGCAAAAGTTGTTTCAGTTATTTCGTTGTGTTGTAGTTCAAATGCAAGCGAGCATCGCATGACATCGAGTTCGAGGCAAACCCTTCGACGTGCGTTCTTCAACGCCTAATTGCGTTATACTTGGGTATGCACATGATGTTAAAGTGACCAAGTTCATACACGAGCAATCTATCTTACGATCAGTGGTACGAAGCTCGCTTTATCCGGCACGAATGGCCCTGACAATTTGTGTCTTTGCACTGCAATTTCTATCGATCTCTCGCTTCCTGTGCGTTGAAATGTTGCTAGAGTGTTAAGTTGATGGTTGTCTTCAGTTTCTATACACTGCAATGTGTGTCCCCTTTCTCAGTGAATAACAAAAGGCAAAACCGATGTCTCCAAGATAGCTCCGGCAATCGCAGAGACAAACGAAAAAAAAGCCTGATTGTGGTCACAATCATTTTGCAATTTACCTATGTGACGTACGCGTTCACATTTCCTAGTTAAAGCTGAAACTTAGAGCCTTAAAGAACCCCAGGTGGTCAAAATTTCCGGATCCCTCCACTACGGCGTCTCTCATAATCAAATAGTGGTTTTGAGACGTTAAACCCCACAAATCAATCAATCAATCAACTTAGAGCCTTCAAAACCTCACATGCGTAACGCTGCTTAGTGCCGACCACTTCAGATTATCGGTGGTCGCGACATGTGCGATGTGTATTGCCCCGTCACCTGTTTACTTTTGCACAGCGCGCACCGCGGTCAGAGGCTGTGTTAAAATTCATAATCAAAGTTACCATGGTTCTGCGTGGTAACGATCGGGCGAATCATCATATCACGTTCATTATCACACTTTCTCCTGCGGCCTGCTGTAGATAACGTGAGTAGTTTGCTTACCAACACGTTTGCGACGGCCCATATCCAGCATTCTCACCGTTCTGCTTCGTAAAAGCTGAAGAAATCAGCACAAATGAAGTAATTTACGTCCGTGGTAATTCGCAACGCAATCGTAGCCTGACGATAGTTATAGCGCCAGAACAGAACGACGACAAAAAGACAAGTAGGACCAAGAAGGCATCATCGTTTTGTGCTCGCGCTATAACTATTGTCATGTCATACCAACTAACCCAAACTGCCACACTTGCAATAGAAGATACAATAGTGGCGTCGACTGGTGTAGGTTTTGCAAATTGCGGAGCTGTTCCGTGTGCTCTTGTTCTCGCCGTCGTTCTGGCAAGTGAATCTATCTATCTATCTATCTATCTATCTATCTATCTATCTATCTATCTATCTATCTATCTATCTATCTATCTATCTATCTATCTATCTATCTATCTATCTATCTATCTATCTATCTACGACTTTTCATGTTATGACCAGTCAAATTCGTACTTCATACAGCTATGTTATGCCATACCGAGTTTGTATCGATACCATTATCAAAACGGCCAGGAGAGCTAAAAGTCGTAGGCGGCTAATAGATAGATAGATAGATAGATAGATAGATAGATAGATAGATAGATAGATAGATATATAGATATATAGATAGATAGATAGATAGATAGATAGATAGATAGATAGATAGATAGATAGATAGAAGTTGCAGCGTGCGTCTCTATCTTCTATATCACGGTGCGTACGTTGGTGAGGCAGCTAAGGGCAAACCATTTATATGCACCACACAGCGTTTGGCAGTCCTTCGTTTGGCAGTCCACAGCGTTTGGCAGTCTATTCGGGGAGGACGAAGGCCACTTCGCTTGCTCCCACTGCCGCGTTTACGAAAAGAACGCGCCAGCGCGCTGCTGACCAATGACGACATAGAGTTTTGTAAACTTAGCTAGAGGGTACACTGGCGCTGCGATCGTTCAGCGACCTCAAAATTTATAGGTATGACATGAATTTGCCTAGTCTTCGTGTTTGCGCGCAGCGAACACACTCCTGGCCAACAAGATCTAGTAACGTAACTTGTGGATTTATTCATTGCTGCTTTTGGTTTTGTTTGGAAGGAAAGAACCAACCGTTTTTCACCACGTGACGCGATTTGAAGTGGTAAGCCTAAATTATTAAGGTGTAGAAGCGCAAATGCCAAGCATTTGTCACTTGTTGTTTCGTGACAAAGCAGCTTCAAGCCACGTGAAGCCACAACGAAAGTAAAGTACGAAGACTGGGCAAATCCATGTTACACCCATTATTTCCGTGCTCGCTGAAGCGCTATGTAGTACACTTCCCATAGGCGCTATACAGCCAGAGTTCCCTTTAGTGTATATTTAGGGAACTCTATGCACAACAAAGTAAGAGCTGTGACAATTGTTAGCGCTTGTCCTGTGTACAGGATAGCGCTCGTTTCGTGCGTCTTTCTTTTTGTTTGAACAGCGCGCTTTGATTGTCGAACTGTGACAGTTGCAAGTCCGTGTTCGTTTTGTGTATGCAGCTAGAAAGTTGCAGCTCTCTGCTGCATGTTTCGACATGCTTGCCGTTCTTCACATGACTCTGCAATTTGTTGCTGTTGCTGAAACAATGAACAATAAATTTTCAACTACCTCTGTGAATACACGTTTCGCTTTTGTGTTATACCAATTCCTAGAAGGGGGATGGGTCATGTTTCTTTATGTTTTTTGCTCTTCAGTCAATTGTAATCGTGTGCCCGGAAAGTTTGTCACAGTATACGTGATTGCGTTCAGCCTTTACGATCTATGCTAGCTCTATGAACCTCATGGGGTTTCGCAGTGTCTGCGGCATCAGCCCACGCTAACCAAACGACGAGGTCATGTGAGAACCCATGTGGCGTCACATGTTTTTGCGGGTTTGTTAAATCATGATGTTGTGCTGTTCTGAATGTGTCTTCTTTTGTACGTGTCCTTACTTCGCGCTACGATCAATTATCTGAATTGAGCGCGTGAACCTGCACATTCAAAAGATAAAATAAAAATTATAAAAGAGGGGCAATCGGACGTGCAAGGAAAGTCTCACCCTTATGCTGGGTACGTTGATGTTCTACTCTTGATCACATGCTTGATCTCGTCATAGCTTCCCGCTCTGGACCGCGCCACCAGTATCCAGAATGCCGTGTGCAGTTACTTCGTTTTAGATGAGGCTCTCCATGACTCTACTTGTCAAAAATGAGGCACTTCCTTTATCACCTCTAATTTATTTAGGACGCAGGTGCAGAAACAAATTTATCATTTTAAATTTCGCAGAGTGAAATTACGCGGAAACTTAGGATTGACAATGGGGTCAGGTGTTGAGCTAGTCGGTTCGACATTTTGCTTAAGGGAGCACGAATTTCGTTAAGAAAAGAAATATGCAGGTCACTGGACTATAAATGTAGAATTTCTTGATAACCTAGCCAATTCAGTAGGTATGCTAAACATATATCGGACCTTGTAACTCGTCATTAGCATGTCAATGATACTTTGTTTTAATTTATAATCTTAATATACTGTTATCTAAATCTCAATAACCTGTACATATCATGCAGAAATATCTGTTCGTTTCATTCGTAACTGGAAATAGCACAAACACGTATCTTCCTTTTCGTTTAACTGAGCACATTCTTTCTATTCATGAGGTATATAGCCAGCCTTTCTCTGAGCTCATATTTATTCAATACAGAAATGGCCCTTAGCTATTTCTCGCTACCCACACTAAGAACAATCGCAACTACAACTTGAGAGATTCTACTTTTTTGAACCCAAAAGGCAGAACCACCTATGGTCAGCAACTTTCAAAATGGCAACTTCCCCATTTACTATATACTTATCCTCAAGTCTTAACCTTCATAATGCAAACTTCTTCCATGTCAACGTTCAGAAAAAGTCAAATATGTACTTCTTAGAGCACATTTAGCTATTACGCCTTGAGTGAACTTAGTTATTCTCTTTACTCTTACATGTATTAGCGTATGCATATGTACCCCCTCATGTTACTGTTCATGTACGAAAGCCTGTAATAAAGCTCCCGTATGGAAAACCGGAGTCTACACTACCACTGCTCTGTGTTTTTTTTCCTTTAAAATGATACGTATTTGTTATCAAAAACACATTTTCAAAGCATTGTTGATTGCCTATTTTGTATAAACTTCTTCCTAGTGCTCTGCATTGACATTCTGCTCTTGTATTTCATTCTTTCAAAGCAGTTGCGCCGCGTGATGAACTTACAGTGTGAGGCTACAGGCCTAACCAGGTGACTCGTAACCACGGTGGTACTGTGTTCGTAACGTCGCCTTTTGTCCCCTGTGCCACGACAGCTAGTAACGTATTGTCCTTAGTTTATTTAAAAGGGGGAAAAAAGACGCTGCCCTTGAGCGCCGTGGGAAACGTTTGGACGGTTGGCTTCCGTCTTCGAGTACAAATTGTAATAAAGTCTCAATCGGCGGCGCGTCATGGTAGAAGTGACGAGTTTTACTTATTGCCATATTCGTTTCCGGCAGCGTCTTCGAGGCTGGTATAGTAAAGCTGCTGCTCCAGGGATAGTTTCCAGCCTGAAGCACGCAGCTCTAGAAGTTCGAGTAGGGTCAAGCGAGCTTTCTCGGGAACATCTGACGACAGGAAAGCGTCCCGCAAGCAGTACACTAGTGCCGCCATGTGGGCAGGGGCACCTCGTTCCGCAGCTTCGCCGGCTGTAGTTAGTGCTCTGCGGAGGCACTCGACCTGCAGTGAAAGGTTTGAAAATTTAGCATATTTGTATGAGCGAATCTCACAGTTTATTTACACTTTCTTTGTCACGTATTATTTTGTAGTCAGTAAAAATGGGTAGTCCGACTGAATAAACAATTATCCACAGGTATAAGCCTTCAACTGACAACCTCGCGAAGGCCGATTAAACAGCAGGAGTGGCGGCATCAGGTCGCCATCACTCGGCGCCCAATACCTGCTCTTTCCCCAGCGCCACCTGTGCTTGAACGAACGCTACCATTGGCGGAATTCTTTCGCTGGCAATGCCATCCACTCTGCTACTCCCTCCTCCTCTCTACACCAGGTGTTCCAATCACGTCATTGCTTCGCCTTCGCTCTCCTTCCCAACCACATTCATCTGCTCCACATCGCTACGCTTTCTCTGTAGCGTGCTCAACCAACACTCCCTAGTGGCTCAACTCAATAATAACACGAATTTTATTTGGAGTTCTAAGTCCCAAAACCACGATATGATTATGACAGACGCCACAATAGAGGGCTCTGGGAATCTGGACCATCTGGTGTTTTAGGGGCGATGCTCCTTAGGGCGTGGGCTTTGCGTCCCCTGTAGCCTGTATGTAGCCACCTCTAGTTTAGTTCTTGCAGTGTTCACTAGATGGCGGTACCGTCCCCTGTATGTAGCCACCTCTAGTTTAGTTCTTGCAGTGTTCACTAGATGGCGGTACCGTCTCCTGTATGTAGCCACCTCTCGTTTAGTTCTTGTAGTGTTTACTAGATGGTGGTACTTGTAGCAGATGATGAAAAGATGCAAGAAGTTATAAACTAGAAAGCGGTACTTGTAGTTGATGAAAGACGCGAGATCTTATAAAATAGGAATGATGTCACATATGGCGCGTGTCATTGGTTGAAGGCAATCGTTCGATTTAGTGCTGCGACGTACGCTAGGGGGAGCGTTGTAATAAAATCCGTTCGCTGTTGGCGCGCGCTCGGAGTCGCCGGATGGATAAGGCTGCACAGCGGAGAGAGCGCAAGGCGGCAGCAGCGCGCGCTCGCAGACAGAATCCCGATGTGCGAGCGCGCGAGGCAAGGGACATCGCAAGCCATTCATCGTCTAAGAACAAAGAAAAGTTGATTTGTGTATATACACACACAGCGTTTCTCACGTCTTTACATGATGATCGACTGGGCGAATTACACGGAAGATTCACAGTTTACCGGTGAATCCCTCCGGAGCTTCGCCCATTCATCATCATTCACCCCGGGAATATGCCGTAATTTTTTTTGACATCCGCTGACATCGCACAGCACAAGGGCCTCGACCATTTCGCCTCCATCGAAATGCGACCGCCGAGGACCGGCTCAACTCGTGTGACTTCACTAGTTACAGTAGACTCCCCTGTTACCCTAATGTATTTGTCCGCTCTCTCTCTCTCTCTCTCTCTCTCTCTCTCGTCCCGCTTCGCTCTTGCACCTGGGCTAAATAGTGCGGACGACCGATTCCTAAGGTTTCACCACCGCCTTTAAACAGCCTCGCGGTTAAAAAGCCTGCCCGGAACACGCAGCACAAGCTGGAGCTCACCGTTGTGTCACATAGCCACGCTTGTGCATGAAACATCTTGGAGAAAAGACCACATACCGGTAACAAGTGATGCTAACCGATGCAGCAATGCGTCAAAGAAGCCTACAATTGCACCGCCAGCCGTGCTACGGCAATCAGTAAACAGCGGGTGCTTGAGCGCTACGGACACGTCACTATGGGCTAAGCCTTAAATGATGATCCTCAGCCACAACACAAACAATATATGTAAGATTTCTTCAATTCGAATAATGCGGGACCAGCCAAAAATACCAGAATTAACTCAATGTCAAAAACATCGAAAGCGATAAGCAAACCATAAGGATAACGTCTGTTTTATATACTTTCATTTTTTGCATGGATATGCGAATGCGGCAGTTATTTCGTATACGAGCAGCGTAAAAGCAGCAGATTTTCTTCATTCTGGCATTTTATTCACGATGCATGCGACCAAGGCGCCACATTCACAGTTTTTTTTGTAGCCCAAAACGTTCTCTCCACGCCTCCCTTATTGCGTACTGCATGCCACCATTACCACCATTACGCGCATGTAACAATGGTCCCCTTACGGGTAAAAATGGCCGGCAACTGACGGCTCACCCATTACAATACGGAAAATGAGTTTTATGCCAGCATGCCGACCGCACCTGCACGCTCTTCATCACAAACCTCTTCTACGTGCATGAGTTCTGTGACTTGGCGCGCGTAGTGCATCAAGTTAGAACGAAGCTGCTGTCTCACAAACTCAGATGTCAATGAAAACGTGGTCACTAAATGCATGATCGAAAAAGCAATCCACACTGCGCAACCTTGTTTCTGTTCCCTGCGAACGCCGTTTTAGTTCTTTTGACTCACACATTTGCGGTGTTTTGCGCTCCGCACCCTGCAAGGATCGTCTAAATGTGCCCGCATTACCAAGTTTCATGTAATCAAACAGTGAGTATGCTGGCCGGAACAAAAGGACACGTCGAAAGTACCGCGTTTTCCACATTGACGTGCTTTTGCTGCATTTGTAAATACATAGGAGCACACAGTACCATTTACAAAGGACTACTGGGCGATTGCTTACAGCGTAGGATGCTGGATAGTCACGGCTTCGTAGGCGCTTCGCAACCACACTTGTCTAGGCTCACCAAAAAAGTTTCCGGTGTACGTGCGCTAGAGCAAGCCATGGTGGTTGTAGTGACGATGATGAGTGCATACCTTAGCTTCGTAGTCCGGCTGAGGCGAGTTCATGACAAGCCTGCAGGAGTCACACAGAAGCGCCGCCATAGAGAAGATGTGTCCGCAGTGAATCGAGCCCATCGATGCAGCTCCTGGATTTTCAGGGACGCCTGACAGAATCACGGCCATGAATTTCACGAAGGCGATCAGTATCTGACCGGCATTCTTCTGAGTCTTCGGCTCCAGTGGTGCCCAAAAAGTGGAGCTCTGCACCGGGACGTCGTGTTGCTTAAGCCACTTGCGGCAGGTCCACAAGAGTTGATCGACGAACCCCCCGTCGAACTCAGCCTGTGGTATTATCCAAACAATAAAGGCGCGGAGAAGTAAACAAGTGGTTTTGCAATCTATGGGTGGTAAATAAAACTTATTCTTTACGCGAAAGCGTAATAAACTAGCTTATAAGAATTCAGCTCAGCTTAGAAGTTGACGATCGAAAACGGTATACCCCGCAAGCCAGGGACGCTACACAGAGGCAAAATATCCCAGCCTCTATATATAGCTGGATGATCTAGCACGGACCAGTCGAATCTCGCACTTAATCGTCTTTTCTCATTTCCATCAGTAAAGTTAAATATTCATAGATTTCATCAAGACGTGTATGACTAACCAATGTTATCGCGCCTTCTGCTTGCTGTTACGATTTTTTTCTGATATTTGCTCAGTGAAGCGCAGCCGAGAGTCGAGTACCTGCCCTGTGTGCCACTTGTCTATTTGGTGTCGCAACGCACTCATTCGTTTCGAATCATATTGACAGAGGGGATCACAATAAGGCTTGCTAGGCCTCCACGGAACACGCATCAGAGTCACAGTGAACGCTGTGAAATCGACGTCGTGAGGACGTCACATGTTTTTGATGATCTGTGACGCCGTGATGATATATCGTGACCCAATCGCACGATAATTCATTGCGTAACTTGACCATAGTTACGCCGCTGACGTGATCGCCGACGAGAGACACCGTCGCAGGATGCCGGTAACTTTCCGAATCTGACGGGCCATTGAAGCATTCCCTCCAAAAAGTAAGGGTGGTTCTCATACGCTAATCACTCACCCTGATGACGCGGGTGCAGATCTTCGCCGCCGTCTCAGCACTGTCGTCGTCGTGGATGGCTTTCCATAAGACTACACGCACAAGTACATCCACTTCCTCTGGCGCCAACAAGTCAGGCTCTGAAGAAAACAAGGTGTATGGCTTATGTTGCGATAGAGACGTCGAAATTTTGTGTTTAAAGTGCACTGGTCTGGTGAATTCATACTACACTGAAAAATGGTTAATTATGCAATGTATTCAATAATGATCTAGTGTACAGCCCTGTTATACAATGCCAAATATGTTACAAGGTGATGCAATACTGGTGTCACATGAACAACCTAATTTGATCGCAACCAGGGCAGATCAGGAAAATTGCGATCTAGTTCCTCGATAGCGATTCGACATACAACTCCGCCAAGCTCGACCAAAATCATTTAAAACAGTGCAACAGCAAAGGTTGCTTATTGCAACTGAAACAGGGTTTATTGACGCAAGTAGTACTTACAAAGCAGGTCTATTGATGCGGAAAGCGGGCGGCAGCAACGGACCCAGGAATCACAGCACTCGGGGCAAACGCTCGCGCTTGGCTTTTTTCGCTAAAGGTGTGACCCACTGCGGCACATGATCTTCCTCTCTACAATGCCCCGGCGACAAAGACGAGCCATCCTGGCAAGTCAAGGTGACGAGAGTAGGAGTGGTCCGTGATAGGGCTTGAGACGACTTACGTGGACAGTGTCACGACCAAGGCTTCGCCTGTCTGTAGATGGCGTGATCGGCTCGACCACGTATGTGACATGAGATCGACGTTCGACCACGCAATAAGGACCGTGAAACTTGAGGCCAAACTTAGAGGACAGACCTGGGGAGTGGAAGGGCAGTCGAGCGAGCCCACGGCAAAAGTCTCGACTTGCTGGTCGTGGTCGTGGTGGTCTTTTCAAGTGCTTGCTTGTCCGAGGTGAATCATCGGGCCAACTGACGACACTCTTCAGTGTGGTGCACAATTTCAGAGAGAGGGTTGAACTCTGAGATGCCGGGACGATACGGCAAAATGGTGTCGAAGGTGGAGCATGGCTCACGCCCATATAAAAGAAAGAAAGGCGAGAAGCCTGTGGTTGACTGCGTCACGGTGTTGTACGCATAAGTCACAAATGGAAGAATAACAACCCAGTTCGATTGGTCGGAATTGACATACATGGCGAGCATGCCTCCTAGCGTTTGGTTGAAGCGCTCAGTTAGACCGTTGGTTTGCGGGTGGTAGGCTGTAGAGGTGCGGTGCACCGCGCGGCATGCCCGAAGGAGTTGTTGTACAACTTCGGATTAAAAGGCACGCCCTCGATCACTCAAAAGTTCACGTGGTGCCCCATGACGCAGTACGAAGCGTCGCAAGATCAAATTGGCAACGTCACGTGCACCAGCTGTAGGTAGTGGAGCTGTTTCAGCGTACCTCGTCAGATGGTCGAACGCGACAATGATCCATCGATTTCCAGTGGCAGTGTATGGAAGGAAACTATAAAAATCGATTCCAACGCGGTCGAAAGGGCGCGCCGGACACGGTAGAGGCTGTAATAATCCGGGTGAATGGGCCGCCGTCTTTCGTCGTTGGCATAATGAACAGGACCGAATGTATTTTGGTACAAAGGTGTACATACCACGCCAGTAGTAACGCTGGCGGATCCGGTGATATGTTTTTAACACACCAGCGTGAGCATGTTGTGAGTCGGCGTGAAAATACGCACAGACATCAGATCGCATGTGGCGTGGTACAACCAAGAGCCATTTACGACCATCCGCGTGGAAGTTTCTGCGGTATAGTTACGCATCCCGTATCTCGAAATGTGTGGCTTGGCGGCGAAGAGCACGTGGGTACGCAGACATTGAGGAGTGGGAAAGAATGTTAACGAGAGATTTTATCCATGGGTCGTTCCGCTGTTCAGACGACATCCTTGAGACGGAAATGGGAGCAGTGGGAAAGTTGGCGTCCGAATGCAGGTCTGCGCTGGATCTCACTGGTGATCGTGAGAGGGCGTCCACATCAGAGTGTTTTCGTCCTGAGTGGTAGACGACATGAATGTAGAATTCTCGTAGGCGAAGAGCCCAACGTCCAAGGCGACCTGAAGGATCTTTTAGCGACGCCAACCAACAAAGTGCGTGGTGGTCTGTCGCAACGTCGAAACTCTATCCGCAAAGTAAGGACGAAACCTGCTTAACGCCTGAACGATTGCGAGGCATTCTTTTTCAGTTACGGAGTAGTTCATTTCCGCTTTCGTGAGTGCGTGGCTTGAGTATGCGACAACTTACTCTGGAATACCGGGCTTTCGTTGTGCGAGTACTGCTCCCAGACCAACGCCTCTGGCGTCTGTGTGCACTTTAGTGGGGGCACTTGAGTCGTAATGGCGTAGAATGGGTGGCGACGTAAGCAGGCGGCGCAGTGTAAGGAAGGCTTCGTCACATGCCGGGGTCCAGTTAGAAAGATTAGCTGGACCATTCAGTAGTTGCGTAAGATGGGATATTATTGATGCAAAGTTGTGGACGAAACGGCGAAAATGCGAGCACAAGCCGATGAAACTCCTAAGTTCTTTGAGAGAAGTCGGCTTCGGAAAGTTGGCTACGGCTCGAAGTTTGTCCGGGTCGGGGCAAATTCCATGTTTTCACGCAACGTGACCAAGTATAGTAAGTCGGTGAGCCCCGAAGCGGCACTTCTTTAGGTTAAGCTGCAGGTTTGCATGAGTAAGGCACTGAAGAATCGTGCCCAGACGGTCAACGTGGGTAGGGAAATCAGGAGAAAATACGATAACATCATCAAGGTAACATAAGCATATCTGCCATTTAAGGCCGCGTAAAATGCTTTCCATCATTCGTTCAAGCGTTGCAGGTGCATTGCACAGACTTAATGACATAACCGTGAATTCGTATAGGCCATCCGACGTAACGAAGACTGTTTTGGGGCGGTCACACTCTGCCATCGGAACCTGCCAGCAACCTGAAAGTAAGTCCAGCGAAGAAAAGAATTCGGCACCTTGTAGGCAATCGATTGCGTCGTCGATGCGGGGAAGAGGGTACACATCTTTTCGTGTAATTTTGTTCAGTCGCCGGTAGTCGACACAAAATCTAGTCGAACCGTCTTTTTTGTTCACTAGCGCAACAGGTGAAGACCAGTGGCTAGAAGATGGCTTGATGACACCGCGCTGAAGCATATCGTCCACGGGCTTTACAATCACACTTTGTTCTTTGGGTGATGTGCGGTAGGGACGTTGCCGCAAAGGAGGGTGCGTTCAAGTGTAGATTGTGAGAGCGACGGTGTTAGTTTGACTCAGTGCCTTTTGAGGAAGGTGAAATGAATCTCGGAATTTATGGAGAAGGGTTGTTAGCTGGTTCCTTTGATCCGGAGGAAGATTGCTGTCGATGTAACGATCGAAGATATCCGAGGAGTAGTCATCCCTCGTAAAAGGAGGAGTAACAGCGTTCAGTTGAAGTTGCTGGCCAGGGTCGTGGGACTCAATAGGCACAATAACGTTGTCATCAACAGGAAGAACATAGCTCAGTGTTACGTGAGCTCTTAAGGTGAGAGGGCATGAGCTAGGATTGCAAACGACAATTCCGGAAGTATCTTGGTGAGGTGGCAGAACGGCGTAGAGACGTACTGTGGCGGTGACTGAAAACGTCAGATGGGGAGAACACAATGGTAGAGTCGGACAATTGACTGCGATTGACGGGGACAACGACGGCACTAAGAAAGGGAACATCTATGTCGGAAGCAACAAGAAGCTTGCCAAGGTGAGTGAGCTCATTGTCGGCAGATGGCGCATCAGAAAACCCAGAAAATTACACCTGCGCGCGAGCGCAGTCAATTACGGCATGGTGGCGTGATAAAAAATCCCATCCAAATATCACGTCGTGGAAACAAGTGGCCAACACGAGAAACTCGATGTGGTACAGCACGTCCTGAATGATTACTCTCGCCGTACATGCTCCGACTGGTCGAATAGGTTGCGCGCTCGCGCTATTCAGCAATAGGTCGGAAGGCGGCGTCGTTACCTTTCGTATCGAACCGCAGAGTTTCTGACTCATCACAGATACGGCGGCACCCGTGTCAACAAGCGCAAGAGTTCGTAGACCTTGAACAAACAGTTCCAGAACGTTTGTGGGGGAAGGGCGAGGACTTCTACAATGCGACGATTCAGCAGCTCGTGCCTCCGGAGCTGCGGCAGTCAGTTTCCCGTGTCTGCGGGGATTCGGTCGATGACGCAGCGGGGACGGAGAACGGTAGCGGCGTGGTGAGGATGAGCGACGGGGATCGAATGGTCGGTTGTCGGCAGCAGGGTGGTGGTCTAGGTCGGAAGGGGACTGGTCGCGTTGCACTGATTGTCAATCGCATTGACGGGGCGCTTCTCGTTGCGCGTTGTACGGGGCCGTGAAAAAGTCGTCAGAGTACCTCGGAGCTGAGGCCAGGCCCGTTGCGAAGCGCTGGCGACAACAGCGCGCCACGTGACCTGAATATCCGCATGCGTAACAGATCGGACGATTGTCATCTGTGCGCCAAGGCTTTTCGTTATAGCGCTGTTGTGTTGCTGGAAGTGGCATCGTTGGCACTCGTACAGGCTGGGGAGTCGGCCGAAGTGGAGGTCGCGGTGGAGTAGCAACGGACCCAGGAATCAAAGCACTCGGGGCAAACGCTCGCGCTTGGCTGCTTTCGCTAAAGGTGTGACCCACTGCGGTACATAATCTTCTTCCTCTCTACACAACCAATAAATCAGATCCGGAGTTGCACTCAAAGCATAATATTCGTGAAACGTCGACTATGGTTGCAGAGCTGGCTGTCTAAATTTATAGACATTACACATTTACTCCTATTATACCGGCGTCACGGTGTATGATTCAGCGCCTTTCACTGAAAATTGTGCACAATGGTGGTCGAAATATTGCGGACAAGGCACATAGCCAGAATATTTTTTTTCGGTAGGGGCATCTCCTTAATAAGGCAATTTTCCGCTCTCTATTCCATGGCGAGAAATAATTTCTTGGAGCGTAAATTCTCGCTCTGCCACCCTCTGGCTACGCCTTTGTTGCGGACCACGGGAACGGGTGTCAAATTAAGGTCCTTAGATGAAACAAGTTTCCAAAGTGGCAACACCTTTCT